AATATCAAGGATTTATGGTCAAAGAAGTACAGTATACTTTTATGATGATATACAAATAGAAAGTAATTTAAATATTTATTAGTAGAGAAATGGTTCAATAAATTATGATATATCTATAAGATTGATGTTATGGAGTCACTGAGATTATTTTTTGAGGATTTTTAATAATGTGAGAAATACTAACAATTGAGGGATTAGTATAAAAAGGAGAATACAAAACTGATTACCTAGAATGATTTTAATTATGTAAAGTATACATATGGTAGAGCAGGTTAGAAGAAAAGATTCCATGATGCTAATGATGGTTTTATCTGGATTTTAGTCTTATAGATAAGTTTGTTTCCCATTGTATATTTTTCTAAATTGTTTCAGGGTTCCTACAATCAATATATATTGATACAAGAAAAATATCTTTTAAAAAAATGAATTTAGAATGATAAGAAAGTCAGTTGAGTGTGTGAACAGATGACTCACAGTAAAAAAGTACATAAAAAGCAAATGTTTGGAAACGTTTTGGCCAACTCTTAAGGCTAATGAATAAAGGAAAGCAAATTAAAACAAATATGCAACGTCACCTCAGATACATATAGGAACATTTTTATTGCCTTGAGAAATACAAAAATGATCCTTAGGATTTGTATTCTTTGGTCTGTATGATCAAAGGTATGTTACTGGCACTACAGCTGCCCTGTCCTGTAGGGTAGCAACTTGCCATGTTTAAGTTTAAATTTTAATTAGGTAAAATTAAATAACATAAAAACCCCAGTTCCTTATAACACCATTATAATGCATTTTAAGTGCTCATGAGGTAAGTGCATGTGTGTAGTGTCTACTGACTTGGATATCACAGATGTAGAAGTTTTTCATCATTGCAGAAAGTCCAATTGCAGAGTGTTGCTCTAGTATATGGTAACTTGTTTAACCCAATCTGTCATCTTTGGAGGAGTAGCAGTCACTTTTAGAGCAGCAGAGAAAAGGGACATCTTATATGTAAGGGGAGAAATGTCAGACATAGTTATGTCCCAAAATTTCACTTAATATTTGTTTTCCAATAAATGATTTTAAAGACCTACTGTGTGCTGAGGTGCTCATGTGCAGTGGTGAGCAAATCAGACTACTTCACTTAGATTCTATTGGTGGACACAGATTTTTATTTGCTCTTGTTCCAGAAACCTCCAAGGCTGTTTCCTCACTTCCTTCAGTTCTTTGTTAAAATGTCGCCTTATACAGAGACCTTCCCCAAGCAATTTAAATCAAATAGTAATCCTCAACCATGTCTACTCCTCCTGCAGCATTTCCTGCACAGCTTGCCTTTTTAAATTTTTTCCTGGAGTCTATTATTTGCCCTATTTTTACCACTTATTTATATATTTATTAATTTGTCTTTTGTGTTTCTCTTGATTAGAAAAGTGGCTCTAACAGAGTAGGGACTTTGTTTTGTTTGGTTCACTGATGTACCTCCTAACACAATATTTAGTTTTAATTTAATAATTTGTGTCTCTAAGTGATAGTACATGAAATTTGACAAATATATAGTAAAATTCATCTGAAAGTAGAAGATGACAAATATTTCAAAAAGTGGATTTTTTTTTTCTTGGAAAAGACAATGGTGGACTTGTTTTTCAAGTTGTAAAACTTTACAAATTGAGAATCACTTCAGTCTTATAGAGTTGGATTAAAATATTTTAAAAATAATGATACAAGGAATATTCTAAGTACCTGGGGAGAGATTTAAATAGTGATTAGTGACACACTATAAATGTGTCAAGTAACCTAAGAGTGAGGCAAGAAATCACTATTCAATAAATGTTTAGAGGTCAGTTAAATATCAATATGGGAAAACATTAACCAGAATTAGCCCAGCAAGTAGCATAAAACTGTGTATATTCTCTCACGTGTTGATTCCTTGTTTGGTGAAATGTACCTCAAAATCTGAATCTGAAAGTAAAAATAATAATTTTTCCCAATTGTTTATACTAGAAAAAAAAAGAAGAAATCACACAAAAGACTAGCAAAAGGAAATAACTGTGAAAATAAGAAAATGATTTGTATTGTATTTTTGGTTATGTGTATCTCAACTCATTCCCAAAGTGGATGAAGGCATGATTGTGCATTAAAATCATGGAATGATATAGCCCTTTAAAATAAGTATTTAGATAATGAGAGTACATGGGAATGTTTTATAGGAATTATGTATGTGAATACTATGTGCATGCAGATTGTAACTTTAAAAATACAGTATATGTATTATACATGAAAAGTTAATTTAATGTGTTGTAATTTTATTTGAGCTCTTTCTACCTTCATTGAAAAGAGGTAGTAAACATAAATAGATGACAAGAGAAAGATATATTGTTATTTATTAGGTTCTTTTTTTCTTGAAAAAATTTTAAAGATTTTTAATAAGAAAAGTGGCTTTCTACATCCCTTGCCTAGCCACAATATTACAGGGTAAGATGAAAGGCTCTAGAAGTGGAAATGTTATTTTTATGGGCAGAAAAAATGTCTTGAGAAATTATTTGAATTTCTTGTCCAAATGAATAAGGAATAGATTCCACACAGTTTGTAAACGTAGCCTTTTTTCCTTTAAAAAAAAAATTTACATTCTACTTAATTTATATTCCTAATGATAATGGATTCAAATTACATAGTTTGAAAATAATCACATTTTATATTGTGATGAAGATATATTAAAATCATATGCAGTTTAAAATTAATTACAATAGAACATAAATCAAGAAAAAAATCTTTTTTCTCCAAAGACTTTTTTTTTTTTTTTAGCTGAGCCATCCTGCCACATATTGGCAGCTCAGCGGCTGCTCAGCTCGGGCTGGACTCGAACTGCTGTTGCTCAGAGCTCAAACTCTTGAGCGAGCTCTTAACCAACTGAGCCACTCGGCCGGCCCAAGAAAAAAATCTTGATTATCGTTACATAATTAGTGGTTGTGCTGAAATGAAGACAAAAATAAATTTGATGTAATAAAAATATAATAATTTACAAATGATGTGTCTTTATTTTATTACCCCAAACTTTGCCAGCTCATCAACAGAATATCCATATTTATATAATAATTAAATTCATTTGTCTGACATTTTGGCTACTTTCTTAAAAAAAAAAATTTTTTTTTTTAACCCAGACTTTTCATTACCCAGGATTTTGAGGGAAGCCTTTATCTAGAAATAGATTACTTTTATTAATCCACTGACTAAATCAAATCCAGTTTGTTCTTTAGCAAAGTGCATTTGCAGGTAATGCACTGTGATACTATAATAGTTCTGGAGAGCCCAATACAATTGTGTGAAATGTCACTGGATGAGAAAGAAGGTTATTTGGGCTGGTTATGGTAGAATTGGTCGGCTACTTATTCCACTTTAATATATTTTTATCCTACAGATCAGAAAATTTCACTATAAAAGCCAGTGCTGGAAAGATACTAAATGAAATAAATACTACTTCATATCCATCAGGGGAACATCAATTTTATATTAGTTGTGGGGCCACATTAAATTTTAGCCTTTGGTTAGATAGTCCACAAATATAGCCTAACCCAAAGTTAATCTAAAACAAAAAGGAGTCGTTTCTTATTCTTCCATTTTAAAATATTACTTAATTGATTACTTAAGTAATTTCACAACAATTATTAAATATCTTGTATATTCCAGGCACTATGTTACATGCTGGAACAATAACTAAAAGATTATATAATTTGACATAATTTATTTGCTTTAATTGCACTGTTCCTTGCAATCACTCTGTGAGATTAGTTCTAATACAACCCTGTCAGGTAGGTATCATTTGATAGATAAGGAAAAAGTGAACTGTGTTGATGGGAAGTAACATGGAAGCAAAATAAACCCTCTGCTCTTTCTTCTGCCTCCATTCAGCAAATTCTGTTATTTTCCAAAGCAAAACATTGGGACACGCAGTTTGAGAAAGCCATTTTTCTCTTTTGTGAAGTGATTTGTGTGAAAGTTTTTAAAGCAATATCACATTAAATTACATTTACTTATTCTTTTGATTAATCACCTTATCGAAAAGAAAAAAAAATTACATAAAAATTTGGATTGTCTAAGAACATCTGGAACATATGGCCACCATATTTCCCCATCATAACTTTGTGAATATTTAAACCTTCTTACTCTGCCCCAGTTTTTCTTACACCAAATGCTCTTCCCCTCCCACTTTCTTCGTTTTATCTCCACGTTTCTTGTCTTTTCATCACCCATCTTTTTTTCATTTGTTTTTAATCATGTATCTTAGCGTTTGCAATTTGTCTACCCTGACATACTTGGAAATTTACAGTTGTTTAGCAAAATGACCAATTTCTGCCTCATTTAATCACATGTAAAGATCTGAGCCTGGGTTCTTTTCTGATTTACCCTTAGCTCTGGTATTGTCTTTCCTTGATTTGCTTACCCTAAGAAGAAAGCCCACGAACACACACTTCCATGCTTCCCAGATAAGTCTACGGATGAGAAAGTCAAAATTATTGGAAAGGATTTTATCCTCTTTTAGCTTTCTCTTTTCCTTTCCAGATATTTTCTGTGTTTGCATCCTCCAATTTGGGCTTGGCATTGTAAGTGAAAATGTGTAACGATATAAACCACTATTAATCACATTCACCCCTTTCTTATAATTACTGTTTTCTCTTTGACTTCTTCACATTGAGTCAAAAGGTGTTTTCCAGCAAAGCCACGTTTGGGGACTGAGGGAGAAGCTTGTGTCCAAGAGTAGGGAGAGGCAGATCAGGAAGAAGGGACGGAACCTGTGAATGAATTCTGGTCCAGGGAAGAAAGGGCAACCAAACTTAAAGGAGAAGCTATGGCAGAATGATAACATTTTAATGGATTTTAGGCAGAAGTGTTTCTATTCAAAGCAACTTGAAAAAGAAAAAATGTTACAAACAACCACTTTAGGATAATTTTTAGAAGGTTCCAGTATTGAGTTGTAATTCAAAGATGTGATAGAACATATTGAGTTGTTTTATTTTTCCCTCCAGGTTTGCAACACAACCACCGATAGGAAACACGCCGACCTTTTCCTGGAGAAGTGTGTTACTGAGTCAATAATGAATATTGTGAGCGGCTTCTTTAATTCTCCATTTTCAGACAACAGTACCAGCCTCCAGGTAACTTAAACAAACAAATGCAGAAGTATTCTGTCACACAGAATTTATTTACCGTATTTGAGTAGGGGAAAAACTTTAGTCTGGTCAGGAAGTCATTTCCTACACTTCCGAAGATGATTCTTTGCTCACATTATTTACTGTTATTCCCCTTTCTGACTTTACCAAACTTTGTTTTAAATAAAAAGGCCCCATATTCAAGTTGAATTAGGAACGTTTGTGTTGTATATTGACTCTTTGCAGGGGTTGAAATAAATGACACGATTCTTTAAATGGATAGGGATTTTGACTCAATAATTCCACTTTAGTAATTTATCCTGCAAGAATTAGCAGGGTTTATATACCAAGATTTTCATTTGAGTATTTACATTCAAAATTGACATCGTCTACAGATAGGGGCTTAGTTAAATAAATTATAGTATATCTGTTGGATGGCTTATTAAAAAAGAAAAAGAAAAGAAATATTGATGACTAGGAAAATGACCATAAAGTAATTGTAAGTGAAAAAGACCACAGAATTGCATTGTAGAACCATTCAAATTTTGGTATATAAAAAACATGTATGCAATATAAACATAGAAAAACTCAATAAAGTATCCTTAAATTTTAATACTGATTATCGCTACATAGTAGAATTATTGGTGATTTTCATTTCTATGTCAAATATTTTATAGTGATGGTGCATTGCTCTTATAAATATATCATTTCAATTAAACTTTCTTTAGGAAAAAACTTTTAAATTATTAGATAGAACCAGATAAAATCATTTTTGTAGGTCAACACTGTCTCTTCTGCATGCCCATCGTATGAAACCAAAACATAAAATCAAGCAAACAAACCCAGAACACTTGCTCTATTTATACTTGGAAATAAACCAGAGACTATTAAAAAAAAATACCTAAATTCATGTCATTTTACCTTCAAGAGATGCCATATTTTTCTGATTCAGAATGTAGCTAAAATGCAAATAATCGATTTTCTGTAGTGCCTGGTACGTGCCTGTCATGAAGTGGATATGCATTAAATATTGTAAGGAGGGCGCTGCTCATTGTAAGAAGGGCGCAGCTTGCAGTGGCCCATGCGGGGATTGACCCCACAACCTTGGTGTTATCAGCACTACGTTCTAACCAGCTGAGCTAACTTGTGTGCCCCCCCACCCCCAACCTCCCTTTCCGGATATTGTGTTACATATTGATGAGCCTTTTTGGTAATGCATAGATACTGCATCAGAAGTGCTAATGGCTTGGTTTAATGGCGTGTTGACCTTCCTTCTTTCTCCTTTCAGACACATCAGCCAGTTTTTATTCAGCTGCTGCAGTCTGCCTTCAGAATTTACAATTGCACCTGGCCAAACCCAGCCCAGAAAGCCTCGGTGGAGTCCTGTATCAGAACTTTGGCTGAAGTGGGTGAGTCAGAATGTCGGATTTTACTTATTTTACATTTCGTGAA